TCTCCTCCCCCTCCTCCCTTCCCCTTTGTTCTCCCTCCCTTTCCTTCTTGTCCTTTCTCCTCCTTTATCTTCTCCCTGCCTCCCCACCTTCCTCTTCCTCCTTTTCCTCCTCCTCCTCCCTTCCTGCATGTATGTAAGCATACTACATGTTTGTAATGCCTCCAGGAAGGTAGGCAGAAGAGGGCATTGGATCTCCTGGATCTGGAGGACAGGCAGTTGTTAGATGCCATGTGGGTGCTGGGAACTGAACCAGGTCCTCTGCAAAAGCAGCCAGTGCTCTTAACTGCTGAGTCATCCATCCAGACCCCCACAGATTTTTAAAAAAATACTGTTTTGCTATGTAGCCTGAGTTGGCCTCTTGCCTCTGCCTTGTGAATGCCAGGATTGCCCTTGTGCGACACTAAACCCAGCTTACTGGGTCTTTTTAACATCATACTCCAAGTTTATTAGACCATGCAATAAAACAAGAAAAGGAGGCCAAGTGTGGTGGCACATGCCTTTAATCCCAGCACTCAAGAGGCAGAGGCAGGTGGATCTCTGTGTTTGAGGCCAGTCTGGTCTACATAGCCAGTTACAGGCCAGCCAAGGCTACATAGTGAGACTTTTTCTCAGAAAAGCAAAAAACAAAACAAAATAAAAAACAAGAAAAGGAATATTGATTTAGAAGAGGGATATAAGACATTATTGATAAGTAATATGAAAATTCATGAGGGGTAACAAAAAAGACCCTAAAAATAGTTTAAGTGATTAGAGTTAGGTTAAAAATGAGCTCAAGGGACTGGAGAGATGGCTCTGTGGTTAAGAGCACTGGCTGCTCCTGCAGAAGACCGAGGTTCAGTTCCCAGAACCCACATGGCAGCTGACAACCATCCACAACTCCAGTTCTAGGGGATTCAATGCCCTCTTCTGACCTCCACAAGCATTGTATGACACAGGTGCACTTACACATATGCAGACAATATATTCATACACATAAAATAATTTTAAAAACCTTAAAAAAATTGGTCATAGGCCTAAAAGTAAACAAAAAACCCATAAAAGTTCTAGAAGATAAACAAGGAAAAAAATCTAGATGGCCCTGGGTTGGCAATAACTTAAAAATAAAATAAAAATAATAAAATATATTATGTGTATGAGAGTGTTACACCTGCATGTATGTAAGTGCACCCATATCATGCAATGCTTGCAAAGGTCAGAAGAGGGCATCAGATCCCCTGGAACTGGAATTATGTACAGTTGTTAGCTGCCATGTGGGTCCTGGGAACCAAACCCAGGTCCTCTGTAAGAACAACCAGTGCTCTTAACCACTGAGCCATCTCTCCAGCCCCAGCAATAACTTTTAAAAATACAACAGCAAAGCTATAATTCATAATAGCAAAAATTGATAAACTACACTTAATTAAAATTTTTCCATTTTGCAAGAGACATTTGCAAAGAGAATGAAAAGCTGTAGATTGGAGAAAATACTTGCAAAAGATGCCACTATATAAGATTTGTATTAAAATATATAAAAAGCTCTAAAATTTTTAACTTATTTATTTTTATGTTATGTGTATGAGTGTTTTGCCTGCATGTATGTAAGTGCACCATGTATATGAAATGTCGTTAGCTCTGTGGGTGCTAGGAACTAAACCCAGGTCCTCTGGAAGAACAGTCCTTAACTACTGAGTCATCTCTCCAGCCCCCCAAATGACTTTTTTTTTTTTTTTTTTGGTCTTTTTGAGGCAGGGTCTCCCTGTAGCCCCAGCTGGCTTGGAACTCACTATGTAGACCAGGCTGGCCTTGAACTCACAGAGATCTGCCTGCCTCTGCTTTCTGAGTGCTGGGATTAAAGGTGTGCACCACCATGCCCGGCTCGAATGACTCTTAAAAACTCATTAACAAGAAAATAGAGAACTAAAAACTGGGCCAAAAACTTTAATAGACATTTCACCATAGAAAGCATAAAGATGAGCTGGGCTGGTGGCACATGCTTTAATCCCAGCATTTCAGAGGCAGAGGCAGGTGGATCTCTGTGAGTTTGAGGCCATTCTTGTCTACATAGCAAGCTCCAGGCCAGCCAGGACCACAGTGAGACCCTGTCTCAAAAAAATAAATAAATAAAATAAAAATGCCAGATAAGTACATGAAAAATGCTTTACATTGTATCTTATCATGGAAATCAAATTGAAAATATTAATGTCTGGGACCAGAGAAATGGGTCAGTGTAAGAACAGGTACTGCTCTTACAAAAGAGAATAGTTTGGTTCCCAGTGCCCACATCAGGTGACTGACAACTGACTATGACTCCAGTGGATCTGATACCCTCATCTTACCTCTGCAGTTTCCTGCACTCATACCCGCACATACCCCCCCATATATACACACAATTAAAAACAAAATAAATCTTTAAAAAAATCAGAGACATGCCTAGCATGCTTGAGGCCTACATTCCAAGCAGTACACACACACACACACACACACACACACACACACACACACACCAATGATAAACTACTATACATCTATTAGAGTGGCTAAAATGTAGAAGACAGTAATTCTGGTAGGCAGTGGAGCAACAGGGGCCCACATTTACTGCTGGTGGGAACGCAATGGTGTAACCATTTTGGAAGATAATTTCTTACAAAGCGGAATGTATTAAGCCGGGTGTTAGGCACACACCTGCAACCCAGCACTTGGGAGGTAGAGGCAGGAGGATCAGAAGTTCAAGGTCTGACGTACATGACAGAATGCATGAACTCCTATAAGCAGGCTATGGGGGGTTGCAAATAGGGGAGAGTTCTAAAATATGATTGAGATCTATTATATAAAATTAATAAAAATTCAATTAGAATATACGCTGAAAAAAATACACCCATTACAAAAAAAAGAAGTTCAAGGTTATCCTCAACTGCATAGTGAGTTGGAGGCTAGCCTGAACTTTAAGGGACCCTGTCTCAAAATAATCACAACAACAGCAACAACAACCAAACCAAACACAAACCAACCTGAACATACTCTTACCAAAAGATACAGCAATAATGGTTGTTGGTGTTCATTCAAAGTTGAAAACTGTGTCCATTAAAAACTTGCACACCAATGTTTATAGTGGCTTTGTTCATTATTACCCAAGCCTGGAAGTAACCAAGATGCCCTTCAGTAGGCGACTAGATCAATAAATGGTGATACATCCAGATAACAGAATATTAGTGTTAAAGGGAAGTAATTTAGGCCAAGTGCAGTGATACACGCTTTTAAGTTCGGTGCACAGGAGGGAGAAGTAAGATGATGGGGAGGCTGAGCTCAGCCTGGGCTACACAGTGAGACCCTGGCGACGGGGATGAGGGATTTATCATATTAGAAACACATGAAGAAAACTTAAATGCATATTAGTGAGCAAAAGAACTCAGTCTGAAGGTCCTACACATAAAGGATTCCAACAACACAGTAATCGAGTGGAAACAAAACCACAGAGCCAATGTAGGGCTTGGGAGGCAGCGATGAAGGATGAGTGGGTAGAGCAACGGGGATTTTCAGGTAGTGAAACTACCCTGTGTGATACTACACTGGTGGATACATTATTCAATATTGTTTTTTTCCAAATCCACAGAATGTACAAACCCCTAGAAGGAACCTGAATGTCAACTTTGGACTTGGGTCAATGTAAGTTCATCAGCTGCACTGCATGGACCACTCTGCAGGTAATGTTGCTAATGGAGAAAGCTCTTCGTGCTTGGAGGCAGGGTGTGTGTGAGAGATTTCTGCGCTTTTCACTCAGTTTTGTTGTGAACCTAAAAAAGAAAGGGTAATAAAAGTAGAGGGAGATTGTGGGGAAAAGTAAATTACATAGTTATTTTATCATCTAACTCAAAAGCAAATCGAGTTGAACACTTACTATAAAAGCTATTTAATTTAAAAATAGGGCTGAGGAGATGGCTCAGTGGGTAAAGTACTTGCTATACAAGTGCAAGGACTTAAATTCAGGTCCCCAGAACCCCTTAAAGCCAGATGGAGTAGGCACGCTTGTAACCCCAGCATGCCTATGGCTACCAAAAGATGGGAGATGGGGCCAGAAGGATCCCTGGAGTTTTCCAGTCCAGCTAGCATGGAATTTGCAACAATGCACAACTGAAGACCATGTCTCAGACAAGGTGGGAGAGGACTGGCAGTCAAGATTGTCCTCTGACCTCCATATGAGTGCCTGTGTAGTACACACACACACACACACACACACACACACACGCACACACGGGAGAGAGAGAGAGAGAGAGAGAGAGAGATCGAGCTGAGAAGATAGATTGCTTAGTCAGTAAAGTACTTGTGCAAATGTGAGAACTTGTGTTCGAGCCCAAGAACTCATGTGTGGGTTGTGATGGCACCATTTATAATCGCCAGTACAAAGAAGGTGGAGACTGTTGGTATTCTGAGGTTTGAAAACTGGCCAGCCTAGCCTACTTGATGAGCTTCAGGCCAGTGAAAGACCCATCTCAAAAACAAGATTAAGATGTGATAACAGATAACCTCTGGATCCATACACACACACACACACACACACACACACACACACACACACGAACTCTCTCTCTCACATGCACACACTCCAACAAAGGACAGTCAGGCATGGTGGTATACTGCTGTAATCCTAGCATTTGGGAGTTGGTGCCAGAAGGATTAGGAATTCGGGGTTATCCTTGGCTGCATAGCAACTTTCAGCCCAGCCCAGGTTACACGAGACTCTGTCTCAAACAAACAAACAAACAAACAAACAAAAAGTCTGGGGATGCAGCTCACTTGGTAGAGTGCTTGCCTAACATGCACAAGACCCTGTATTCCATCCCCAGCACCTCATAACTTGGTGTGGTGGTGCATACATGTAATCCCAGCACTTGGGAGGTAGAGGCAGAAGGATCAGTTCAGTCATCCTCAGCTACAGAGTGAGTTTGTGGCCAGCCAGAGGAGAGGCAGCCTGGGTTACAAGAGGCCCTATCTAAAATAATAATAATAATAATAATAATAATAATAATAATAAACCCTAAATCAATCAACCAAACCTAAACAACCCTCTCTTCCATACACATAAGGCAAGTAAATTAATTCTTTTTTAAAATTATTTTTATTTTATGTGTATGGGTGTTATGCCTGCATGTAGATAAGTGCACCCGTGTCGTGCAATGCCCTCAGAGGTCAGAAGAGGCTGTTGGATCCCCTGGAACTGGAGTTATGGATGGTTGTTAACACCATGTGGGTGTTGGGATTTGAACCTGGGTCTTCTGCAAGAACAACCAGTGTTCTTAGCTGCTGAGCCATCTCTCCAGCCCCATAAATTAATTCTTGTATTAAAAATAGATGTAGCCTTGTATGTGGGCATATATCTTTTAATCCCAGCACTGAGGAGTTAGAGGTAGGTGGATCTCTGTGAAGTCCAGGCCAGCCTGATCTCCATAGTAAGTTTCAGGCTAGCTGAGACTAACAGGGAGTTCCTGTCTCAAAAAGACCAAAAGGGGGGCGGGATGTAAGGCAAGTTACAAAAGAAAACCGATATCCAATGTTATCTTGCCTCTAGGAGATATGCAATAAATGAAACTATTCAAGTGGTCTACAAGGTGAGGGGAGTTCTTAAGATTTATTATGCCTTTGTAGATACAAAACAGGCAGGTGTTAAAATACAGGTAGCAGTATATGTCTGAGAACTTGCAAGATAATGACGAAGCTTTGGGAAAAGTACAGACAAAAGTAATTGTTTCCCAGTGTCAGGGCAGATAAGAGGCTCTTTATGACCAGGGGAGGGGTGTGCGCTCAGCTACAGTCCTTGGCACTGCAGGAAGAACTGTGTGGTGAATTTGATTTATATGCTGTGCCAGTGTCCACGGGACAAACACTTGTGTACTAACGATAAAATGTGAGTTTTACCACAGGATCCCAGGTGTTCTGTGCAGGTGTGCACATTGGGGAGGAGAAAGGAGGCAGACAAACTGATTATATTAGGGAGCCTGGGACAATTGAATTGCCCCAAGGTCAGATTTTCCCCAAAGAATAAGCAAGTAAAGTTTTATATATATTTCCCCCAATGATGGTAGATTCTCCCTTTAAAAATACAAATCCTGGGGAGCTGGAGAGATGGCTCAGTGGTTAGGAGCACTGACTGCTCTTGCAGAGGACCCAGGTTCGATTCCCAGCACCCATATAGTGTTAACAACCATCTATAGCTCCAGTTCTAGGGGATCTGATGCCTTCTTCTGACCTCCTTGGGCATTGCACGACACAGGTGCACTTACACGCATGCAGGCAATACACTGATACACATGGAATAAAAATAATAAATTAAAAACTAAAAAAAATACAAATCCTGTTATAAAGCAGTGATTTTTCTCTTTTGAAACAAGGTCTCATGTAGCCCAGGCTTGCCTCCAACTTGTGATGATCCTCCTCAGTCTTCTAAGTGCTGGGATTACAGTTGTGAGCCACCACATTTGGGTCTGAAGCAGTGATTTTCAAAAACATAGTATGGAATTTCATACATGAAGTAAGTGCCTATGATCCTAGTTCCTAAGAGGCTGAGGCAGGAGGATTGCCCTGAATTTGAGGGCAGCTTAGGCTGGCAAGACCTTGTCTCCAAAAATCAAAATAAGGGATGGAGCTCAGATAGTAGAGTGCTTATCTAGCATGTAGGAGGTCCTTGATTTGATCCTCAGCACGGCAGAAAACCAGGCATTCAACTTCTTTCTTGACTACATATTGAGTTTGAGGCCAGCCTGAGCTACATGGGACCCTGTCTCAAAAAACCAGAACCAGGTGCTGGAAGGATAGTTAAGCTTGTACTGTTTTTATAGAGGACTTGAGTATGGTATCCAGCACCCACATCAGGTGGCTCAGAACTGCCTATAACTCCAACTGCAAGGGATATGGCACTTTCTTCTGGACTCTGCATGCACCTGCACTCATGTACACACACACATATGCACATAATTAAAAATAAATAAGTATTTAAGAGGAAAAGAAATTCTAAAACATAACAAAACAAAAATCCCCCCAAATAACACATAAGTATTTTTTTTGGTCTTTTTGAGACAGGGTCTCCCTGTAACCCCCAGCTGGCCTGGAACTCACTATGTAGACCAGGGTGGCCTTGAACTCACAGAGTTCCCAAGTGCTGGGACTAAAGGTATGCACCACCACGCCTGGTGTGAAATACATTCTTTAGGTGCAAACAATACTAACAAATCAATATCAGACAAACCATCAAAAACATGTTTACAAAAGTATCTTTACATAAAAAGTGATCAAAATTACATCAGTTTGGAGAAGAATTAGCAGTCACCATGGATGATAATAAACTCCAGGTGGGTCAACTTATGATAAAACATCACTGTGGATATTTTCTGCGTTGGTTTCTTTTCCCTAGTATACACCTCTATTGTAATTTCCTGGTGTGAAATATCTCCTCTTTGATTTGGAAAATGAGCTCTTAACGGCTTCTACATGAAAGCTGAGGTGACTCACCCTTCCTCTCCCTGCCCAGCACAGCCAGTGGATAGGTACTAGACCTGAGCCCAGATCACCCGCTGTCTAAGAACTGTGATCCTTAGGTTGAGCTATGGACAGGAGGGAGTGGAAGTTGGTCAGGCTGTCTTCCAGATTCTGGGTTCTTTAAGACTGCTGGCGCTTTTCCTTTTTTTTTTTTCTGAACGTTTTTTGGAAGGTCTAGTTCATGATCCAGCTAGACTCATTCCCTTGAGGATTCTGGTGGGGTGCTGAGTAGCAACCACAGAGAATGCGTAGAAGAGTACAGTGCTCATCTTGTGGCTAGGCAACCAAAGAAAAAGTGGAAGAGACCAAGAGCCCATAACCCCCTTCAAGGGCACCCCCCAGTGACCTTGGCCCAGTCTCCTAATGCTTCCACAACCTCCAATTTGAAGCACCCTGAGGCCAAGCTTTCACACATGGTTTTGGGGAAGACAATTCAATTTTAGATGCTGTAATCAAGTCAGAAAGTCGCAGTTTGTGATTTTCCCAAAATACAAAGTAAGTTTGGTTCCTTTCTTTGATTTCATGCTGGAAACAAAGCAAATATGCAGTATAATCTAATATTGGTACAATAAATAAAACTATCTTGATTAAAGAGATGTAAGCTTTTTTTGTTAAAAAATTTGGGGGCTGGAGAGATGGCTCAGCAGTTAAGAGCACTGACTGCTCTTGCAGAGGACCTGAGTTCGATTCCCAGAACCCACATGGCAGCTGACAACTGTCTGTAACTCCAGTTCCAGGGGATCCAATGCCTTCTTCTGACCTCCATGGACACTGCATGACATGGGTGCACTTGCATACATGTGGGAAATACACTCATACACATAAAATTAATGAAAAAAATTGTACTTATTTTTACTTCCTGTATATGAGTGTTTTGCCTGTATGTATGTAAGTGCACCTGTGTCATGCAGTGCCCATGGAGGCCAGAGGAGGGCATTAGATTACCTGGAACTGGAATTAACAGATGGTTGTGGGTGCTGGGAACTGAACCCAGGTCCTCTGCAAGAGCAGCCAATGCTCTTAACTGCTGAGCCATCTCTCCAGCCTGTTTCCCCATTCTTGAGTATTCCTTTGGATACAAGCAGTAGTTTGCTTGCATTAGCCAGAGTGAGATTCTTACCACATCCAGAGGAAGGCTATGTCTCCAAAGATATGAAGAAGAGTGTGCCTGAGA